AACCCTCGGATGCTCAGTTAATCTATGATAAAGAAGCTAACAGCATTAAGTAGCACTGAGACTTTGTCTTCACAAACGGTGATGGGAAAACCGGTTATATGCATGTGAAAGATGAAGTAAGATTCTTCTGTCTATCACCATATACCAAAATTATTTCAAAGTTGATTGAAAACCTCAGCGTTAGAAGCAAATCCACACATCAAGGAAACCTTTGGCTAAACTCCATGATATTGACTTCAAAAGGGTCTTCAATGATTTGACTTCATTCGCAAAGAAAACAAAAGCAAAATAAATGGGACTCCCTTGTATTGATTGAACTTTAATTGTTACATTAAAAGTCATGGTAACTGTAGAGGCTTAACAGTACATATTTATCAGCTCGGTTTCTAAGAATTAAAAATTTGGGCACAGGTGTCTCTGCTTCAGGTTCTCTACAGGAGGAAATTCAGAAACAGGTCTGGAATGTGGTTTTAGCAGAGGCTCAATGGGGAAGGCTGGAGTTGTTTTTTTGTTTGTTTGTTTGGAAGGGTGCACTCCGCAGTGTTCAGGGCTAACTCCCTTTGGCGTTGCACTCATGAGTTATTCCTGGAAGGCTCTGGGGACCATATGGAGTGCAAGAGATCAAACCCAGGTTAGCCACTTGATCACTTGATCCTCCACTATTCATCAATTTACTCGAGTGGGTACCAGTAACGTTCCATTTATCCCTGTTGCCTGCTAGCGTAGCTCAATGGCATCTGTTCGTTCTAGGAACATGCAGAGCCTCAAACCGATCATGCAGGGTCTTGACGAAGAAGTCTGACCATCTTGCAGGTGGGCGTCCACGCGCTCTTTTGATGTCCCGTGGAATCCAGTCAGTAATGGCTCTAGTCCAGCGGTTGTCTGTAAACCTCATTACGTGTCCAGCCAATCTGATTTTTGATGCCTTGGCAAATGAGACAGCGTCCCTGATTCTTGAGCGTTGACGGAGATCAGAACTCCGGATTCTATCTCTCATTTGAGTGAAGCGTGATATTCCAAGCATAGCTCTTTCGATTCCTTTTTGAGAGACCCGAATAGTGTTCTCATCCTGTTTTCGTAGGGCCCAGGTCTCTGAGGCATATGTTAATGCAGGAAGAACAGTGTAATCGAGGAGATGTGCTCATAGCTGGAGGTTCTTTGTCCTCTTAGCTATTTCTTCAACGCTCTTGAAGGCATTCCAAGCCACTCTCTTCCTCCTGTATAACTCAGGTGCCAGGTCATTCATCATGTTGATTTCTCGACCTAGGTATATATAACTGTTGCATTTGGAGATGGTGGTTCTGTTGAGAGTGAATGGAGTGTCAGGAACGAGGCTGTTTCTCATAAACATCGTCTTCATAAGATTCAGCTGTAGTCCGACCTTTCCACACTCACGGTCGAAGTCGGTCAGCATTTGTGCCTCTTGGCTGATGTTTGGTGTTATTAGAACGATGTCATCAGCAAAGCGGAGGTGGTGTAGTTGCTGACCATTTATCTTCACTCCCATTTCTTCCCATTCCAGTCGTCACATGATGTTTTCGAGGGTGGCACTCAAGAGTTTTGGTGAAATGGTATCACCCTGCCGAACCCCTTTCTTGACATGGATGATTACTTCTTTGTAGAATGGTGAGATCCTGGTAGTGAATCCGTAATAGAGTTCACAGAGGATCCTGATGTATTGAGTTTGTACGCCCTGATTGGCTAGGGCTTCTCTGACCACTTCCGTCTCAACAGAATCAAAGGCCTTCTTTAAATCAATGAACGTTAGACAGAGCGGCATCTTGAACTCCTGAGAAACCTCAATGAGCTTAGTAATCGTGTGGATATGGTCGATGGTACTGAATCCTTTTCGGAACCTAGCTTGTTCACATGGTTGTCCTTCATCTAGTGTTCTGCTAATCCTATTCAGGATGACTCGAGTGAACAGTTTGTAGATGACAGACAATAGGCAGATTGGGCAATAGTTGCCAATGTCGTGGATGTCTCCCTTCTTGTATAGTAGTATCGTCTTGCTGGTTTTCTATTGGGATGGAACCTTGCATTCAGACAGTGAGCCACATTCAAAGCAAATGCCCTACCCACTATAGTATCACTCTGGTTCCTCAATGGGGATAGTTCTTCTAGACTCTCTCTATTGGTTGCCAAATTCATTTTCTGTAGCTGGGTAATCAAAGGTCCTGCTTTTTCCAGACTGTCAGCTAGAAAGTTTCCTTGGTTCCTTGAGGACTCCTTCAGTTCCTACTGCATGGCTTGGCCACAGGGAGTTCTTAACAATGGTAATCGGCTTCTTCAGCAGGGTCCTTTCTCCCTCCCACCTGTAGTAACAGGAGCTGACTTCTAGTCAGCTTTACAGTACAAAGTAACCTATGGGAGGAGCAAATCTCATCTTACTTTATTCTACTGACAGCCACAGCTTCTATCCTATCCTTAAGGGGTGGGGAAGTTCCTGTATTTCATAACATACCCTTGCCACATTTTAAACATATATTGAGTATTCCATGTGTGAGGTCGAAACTGAAGCCATGACAAGCTGCAGTTAACATTAAGTCTCATCTGGGCCTCAGTTTCTGTTTCCCAAGCAGGAGTTGGAGTTTCTGGTAAACTCCCAGTTGAGTAATTTGAAAAGATAAGGAATTGGGCAGTAGGGTCTGGCTGGTCATGAGGGTCACTGTTCCCTCCTTAGAAACTGTTGCTAACTATTGCCTAACTGCTGACCACCACTGGAATAGCGCTGATGCTAAAAATAGACCTGTATATAAATTGCCTCTTAACTCTGAACCCTATATAAATTGCTTATGATTTGGAGTCGGGGGTCTTTGTCAAGACTCCACTGCGTTGAATGAGACTTGGACCCTAGCTTGAGCCAGCGCTGGCTTGGGCTAGTAAAAAAGTTCCTTTGCTTTTGCATTATCGTTTTTATATGTCTTGTATTCTTGTCTTATATGTCTTGTATTATATGTCTTGGACTTGGTCTCTCCGTAATTGGGGATCTGAAACTCGGGCACAACACATGCAATCAAATGTTGCACTAATGATAGTAAGCATCAAGGAATGGGTATTTTTTCTTCAAGAATACTGATACAGTAAAAACAAAACTCCACATAACAGTCATACCCCACTCACTCTGCAAAAGGAAAAATTTCATATACAACTTACCACAATTATGTGGTGAAATACTGGGGGGATTCACATGTTTATTCTGATCTTGCCTCTGGATAGAGGAATACAAGACATATAAAAACAGTCTTTTTTTGGGGGGGGGGGGGTGAAGTGATAGTACAGTGGGCAGGGCACTTGCCTTGCATGCACTCTAACAGGGTTCGACCCCCTGCATCCCATATGGTCCCCTGAGCACCACCAGTTTTCCTGAGTGGAGAGCGAGGAGTAACCCCTGAACATGCCAGGTAACAAAAAAAAAAACCCACAACATAAAAACAGAAACCAAAAAAACCTCACCAAGATAAATAAGGAAAGCTTTAGACTTTACTTTCAAGGTACACTTTCTATAGCTTTATTTACAATAAGAAGCTTTTTCATACAGCTCTTGCCCTTAGAATCTTATCTTCTAGTTACCTGATAATCTCTTATTAAGTTGGGTTATTAATTGGGTTAGAAAAATCATTTGTAGAACCAATATATTAGGAGTCATTCTTCTCTAAACAAGTTCTTTCATGGGGAGCGCCAGCAATCTGGGTGTCTGTTAATTCAGGACTTGATTCAATTTTATTCTTGTTTTTTAAGAGCTTTTTGGGGGGAGAGATTTGGGCGACACCCCACAGTTCTAGGGGCTACTCCCAGTTCTGTGTTCAGTGGTTGTTCCCACCATGCTTGAAAGACCATGTTAGTCCCAGGGATTGAATCTTGGTCAGTTGCATGAAGACAAACCCCTTAACCCCTACAACTATTTCTCTGCGCCATGGACTTGTTTTAATTGGTGTAAGGGCTGGTGATTTGGGGCTCATCTGTGTTCCTGGGGTGCAGCTGTGTGTGGTGGGAATGGTTTATTTTTTGATGAGTCTTGGAGTCTCACTTCTAATTCCTCTTTGTTCTTGGTTTTGGACACCTGGTGGTGTCCTCAAAACTATTCCTCAAAGCTTGGGGATTACTTCCCAGTGGTGTTTGAAGGACTATGCAGTGCCGGGGAATCAATCATGGGCCTTCAATACGCCAGGTACATGCTGTAGTTTTAATTGCTCCAGGCCTGTGATGCCCTAGAAGACATGACTTAGCCTCTTAGCCAGCTCTTTCAGACTGGGATGACCCTAGGGCTGAAGTGAAGACCTAAAAATGGGACGCATATTTCCCAACTTAAGGACTTCTTCTGATGTCATTAATTTTGTCTTCTGTTGTTCCTGGAAGTTGGAATTCACAGCTTAAATCTTGATAGATGCAAGCTAAATATTTGGGTTCTGTAATACATGGTTTTGTCAGTGATGGTAAGAACTAGATTCTGTTCTAAGTTGAGGGAGCAGAACTTTCGAGGAGGTGGGAAGGGGGGAGTATTATTGGACTTACAGTTGTAAAGCTCACTTTGGCTGTGAGAATTGTTAAAAGGATTCAGGAGTGACAACAGATAACTGTGGTAGAGAAACCACAGAAAGAGAAACATTGTAGCTTGGAATAGGTACTAACAGAAGTGAAACGATTTGTGATAATTGAGACAGCAGAACTTACTGATGGATAGGATAGTAAGAAAGGGGCCAAGGTTGATGCCAAAGCTTTGTACACCCTATAATTTGCCTGCAGGGAAAAGCCTGGCAAGCTACCTGTGACGTATTGGACATGCCAAACACAGTAACAAGTCTCACAATGGAGACGTTACTGGGCCCGCTCGAACAAATCAATGAACACTGGGAGGAGAGTGCTATCCTATAATTTATCAGTGAACTCCAGAACGTTTACTACGAAAAGGTCTAATGAACTTAAGTTCAATGACATTTGTAATTTTTGCACACATGATGAATACAGAAAATGTATTAAAAAAATACAACTAGATAATCCTTGTTTCAACTGTTACTTTATTCCAAGATGACAGAATTAATTAAAAGTATAATTGGGCAACCTTTAGTCAGGCACCAAATTTTACTAAAGACAAACTGTATTTAAACGTGATCATGGAACAGTTCAAAACGCACAGAAAGTAGGATTGAAACATCTCACTGGCCAACAGATTGCTGATTCTTTCTTTTTCTCACTATAATTGAACTTGAACGGTAAATTGTTACTTCAGTAGACAGCAAAACAGAAAGATTCAGTCAAGCAGAATATTTTCTATTTAGTGTCAACCACCTCTAGTCATCTCAATGGGGCCAGACATCTTACATAACTGGCTGTGATTGAGCCTTCTTTGCCAGCAGCTTTAGATCTGAAATGCACTTGGCAATTGTCTCCTTTTCCTGTGATAAAGAAAGAGAAAATGGGTTAGACCTTTCCAAATCATATAATTCTATAAACACTAAAATGCCAAAGAATCTCTCCAACTGGGTCAGAACTCAGATGAATTGCTGTCTTAAAAATTTTTTAAAAGTAAAAAAATTCAATTTATTTTAAGAAGGCCCAGAGAAGTAATTAAAATTCCGTGGATCATAATTATTGTGAGACCCGCATGGACTCTGAAGCCAATACTATACTGTTACCATATGCTGCTCCATTGGCCATATAGCTAACAGATACGTGAGAAATACTAACCCATTAAACTAATACAGAAAGTTCATAAAATCCTTAATCTGTTCTAAAAAAATTTTTAGCTTTCAATTTAAGATAATCACTTTTACATACGATAGCTAAAAGAGAAACACAAACAATAGACCAAATGTTGGTGGGCCCAATTTTTCTAGCTCTGTATGATTATACAGAAAATGACTTGACACGTCTAAAAATTTCTTTTCAAGATACTATACAGGAAATAGAGCAGCCTAGAAGTAGCTTTGGCCAGTGTCCAGGTATTAAAGAGAAAGTTACTTAGTTAACGCAATCCAAATGATGGGACATGAATGGAAGTCTCCTGTCATCAGGACCACTGCTGTTTCTGAGCTAACCAGCTACTCTTATTCTAAGAGAGATGCGTGTCAGGGATGCTAATATGATTCCAGAAGATTTCAAGCACGTACCTGCTGGGCAGAAATACTCTGTACCACGTGCTTCTCCACCCAGTTAATCATGTGTTCCTGCTCCTTGCGACGCATCATATTCTGAACAGAGATATGATAGTCCAGGCGATTCTTCACCTCCTTGTGTACTCTATGCAGCCGTTCCCGGTAAGTAACTTCCAAAGCCATAGCAATGTTATTCTGAAACAGAATTAAGTAATGATGAAGAGGTTACTTTAGCTCTTGAGGATTCTGACAATTAGCATGCCTCCATACTTATATTTTATGCAAAATTCTTTTATGTACTGTGAATAGGAAACAAATGCACACAGTAAATAATTCCTAACAGCACATGGTAAAATGCATTTTAAAGAATCTACAGTAAAAAATAAGTCTCTTTCAGAACATCCATAGGCTAACAACCTACATGTATTTGTGTCCCTCCAGAAGTAATAAATTAGGTGTATGTACATACAAACATTGCTTCCATTCACTATGAATGAATCTTAGCCCACTTTCTCACATCAGGATCTCTCTGCTTAATGTTAATATGTAATCCTACTCTCCAACTGAGGTAAAATCTTGATTCCCAGGCTGAGATGTGACTCAATTGGTAGAGCACATGCCTTCCATGTACTGAGGCCCAAGGGTCAACTCCTCGTACTGCATGTTCCCCTTCCCACTAGTCACTAGGAGTAGCTCCCAGAATAAAATCTTGATTTTACACCCCAGCACCTGCCATCAATTTCTTTGCATATCATTAAAATAAGGCTCCTTGAGCAAGAAACATGAAGTGGATCAAGGAAAGCCTCTTCAACAAGTGGTGCTGGGAAAACTGGGCAGCTACCTGGAGAAAAAAAAAAAAGAACTCCTACCTGGAGGAAAAAAAAAAAAGAACTCAGACCCCTCTCTAACACCAGGGAAAAAAAAAGTCAGATTAAAATGGATTCAAGACCTCAGGATCAGACCTGAATCCTTAAGGTACATGGGGAAAAATGTGGGCAGAACCCTACATGATATTGATGCTAAAGGCATCTTTAAAGATGATGAAAGTGGAAGCAAAGATAAACAAGCGGGACTACGTTAAACTCAGAAGTTTCTGCACCTTGAAAGAAATGGTGACCAAAATCAGAGACAGCCCAAGGAATGGGAAAAATTATTTACCCAATACTCATCAAAAAAGGGGTTCAAATCCAAGATATATAAGGCAATGGTAGAACTTTACAAGAAAAACTCTAACCCCATCAAAAAATGGGAATAAATGAATAGAAACTTCCTCAAAAAAAGAAATACAAATGGCCAAAAAACACACAAAAAAATGTTCTACATGGCTAATCATCAGGAGATGCAAATCAAAACAACAATGAGAAATCATCTTACACCACAGAGACTGGCACACATCAAAAACAAGAAAAACCAGTGCTGGCATGGATGTAAGGACAAAGGGACTCTCCTTCATTATTGGTGGGAATGCCAACTGGTTCAGCTTTTTTTTGAAAAACAATATGGGCATTCTTCAAAAAATTAGAAACTGTGCTTTCATATAGCCCAGCAATACCACTTTCGGGGAATATACCCAGAACATGCAAAAACACACAGAAGAAATACCATCAGCAATTGTATGTTCACTGCACTGTTCACAATAGCTAGAATCTGGAAACAACCTGAGTGCCTGACAACAGACAACTGGTTGAAGACACAATAGTGTATCTACACAATGGAAGGCAATGCAGCTGAGAGAAAAAAATGAAGTCATAAAATATGCTTATAAATAGATCGACTTGAAGTATCATGCTGAGTGAAATTAGTTAGAAGAGAGACAGACATAGATGATAAGACTCATTTGTGGGATATTAAAAAACAACATACATTATGTAACTTAACACCCAAGGACAGTAGAAACAAGGGCCAGGCGGATTGATCTATGCCTCATGTGCCAGGGGAGAGGGCAATTGGAATAGAGAAGGGACCACTGTGACAATGATGGTGGAAGGGATTATTCTGGATGGGAGATGTGGGCTGAAATTGGGTAAGGGACCAAACATGAAGGCCTCTCAGTATCTGTATTCAGAACCATAATGCCAAAAAGTAGGGAGGGAAAGAAGAGCCATTGGTGGGGACGGAGTAAGAGGGAGATGAGAGAGGGAGGGAGAGAGCGGGGGGGGGGGGGGGGGGGGGCTGGGGGGGCGAGGGAGAGGGAGGAAGGAGGGAAAGAGGGAGGCAGTCCCTTATATAGAAGCAGGGAGGCGGGGTACTGGGTACACTGGTGGTGGGAAATGTACACTGGTAAAGGGATGGGTATTGGAACATTGTGTGACTGAAACCTGATCATGAAAGATTTGTAATTGTGTATCTGACAGTGATTCAAAAAAGACTTCTTGAACAACTTTGACAGTTATCTATACTAATTTGTTTCTAGCAATGATCAGGGGTTAACTCCTGGTTCTGAGCTAAGAGATCACTCCTGGAGGTGCTTGGGAAACCATACAACCATATGGGATGTCAGGGATAGAACCTGGGTTGGTTGCATGCAAGGCAAATGTTCTACCCAGCCTCTAAAATAATTTTTTACAAGGTCTCCCAGAATCCTCATATTACAAAGTTTTAATGGAAAATTCCTAGGGACTGATGACAATAAGAAAACAAAAAACAGTTCTTGTTTTCCTCTATTTTGTGTTTAAAATTTATGGCTTTAAGTGTCACCTAAGTAAATGAATCTCAAATATCCAACCTGGAATCCTCCCCACAATTCTATATTCATATGTACAATGATCCATTCAACATGCTGACTCGGCTAAGTGGCAGGCATTTCAAAACAAAGCATTTAAGACCAAAGACTACTTGCAGTCTTTGAAGTATAAGGCAGTATATAAGAAGCATAAGGCAGTCAGGTGGCCCTTCAAAGCATCTGTGGGATAACTTCACTCCTGTGCTCAGAAGCATTGCTGACTCTCATCTATGTTGTTATCAGGAGCCTTGAGTCTCCATCCTCTAGCATCCGCCTGCCTTTGATCTTGTCTCCATCAGTTCTCCCTGTTATTCACGCCGCTTTTACACGTGGGCTTCCAATTTTTCTCTCACTTGTGCCTCTTTAGTACACTGGCTTCCTCATCTTTCCTGGGCCAACCAAGCAAGATTCCAAGTTTAAGGCCCTGGCAATTGTTCTTCCCTCTGCCTAAATTATTTCCCCAGAAATACAATTTTGATCATCACTACGTCTATAGGTGTCTGTTCAAATATATCAGTACATTCTTTTCTAGACTATGCAATAAAACAATCAATTCTTTACATAGTATCAACTAAAGTTCACAGCTGTTCAATTATTTACTTCCTGTAATTCCAATTCCTTGTTGGAAAGCAGATTTTATGAAGGCAGAAATTTTGTTTTGTTCTGTTGCATTCCCAGCAACCTGCTATGACAAGAATCTCTACACAGGAAGATCTTTCAATAAGTAGCTACTAAATAAATAGCTCACAAACAAGTTATTTCAATGATTACCACTTATTATGAAAAAGCTACAACTTCAAAAGCCAGATTGCATAAGTATTATTTATAAGGCAGAAGTATCTTTCAGTTGTAACCTAAACACGCATGGCAAGAGGTTTTAAAATTTCCTGAAGTTTTAAAACATGCATATAGGTGATTCATTTTTTTTAAAGATCCTTATGCAGCAGTTACCAGAGGTTCTGACTTCACAGGTCTTGAGACGGGCTTAAAAAAACCCTTCACCACAGGGTCAGAGAGACAGTACAGCAGGTAGGTTTTTGCATTGTACACAGCAAACCCAGATTGGATCGCTGGCATCCTATAGGTCCCTGTGCTCCTCAGGAATAATCCGTAAGCATGGAGTCAGGAGTCAGTCCTGAGAATCAATGGGTGTTGTCCCAAAATACCCACAAAACCAAAACAAAACTTCAAACCTAACGCATTCCCTCCCCCCCCCCCCCCAAAAAGCCCACACCAAAGATGATTCTGACCCACATGCTATGCTGAGACAACATGAGAGAACAATGGCCTCGATCATTAATTCAGATAATATTTGACCGTAGCATCTCGGTTTTCTGTAGCATGTTTTTTCAAAGGCATTTCACTTTAAACACCAGACACAGGGTTCCAAGTGAGTAACAAGTACATCAACATGTTCTGAAAATTGGTTTAGGAACTATTTTAATATGAAAAAACCTCTACTGTGACCTGAATTTGCTTTGTGAACCTAGAATGCAAGCTATCAGATTTTGTCCTAACAGGTACAAGGTGTTCTTGTAAGCATGCCTAAAACCCAAAGCACTTATTTTACCTGTTGGCTTAGACAATGAATGACATTTTTAATCAGCTATACTTTAATGACCATTTTCCTTTTGCGTGGAATAAAAATGTATTGCTTTATAACTTACTGCTAATTTTAGAGTAATAATTCTAATGGAATAAATAAGTTCAATTTATAGGTCTAAATGTTTAAAAAGCTATGTGACAATCTTACCCGGAACTTTTCTACACTAAATAAAATATGCTCCATCTATTCCTCCAAAGAGATCCTAAATTTAAACACACACAAGGAATTTCTTTCTCCTTGGAAAGTTCTGAAACCTACCCTCTGGACATCAAAAAGGTAATGGCGCTTTTGAACCAGTGCCTGCTGTGCCTTCTCCATCTCAATCGCATCGTTGATTTGCTTGATGGAAGCCTGTTTCACCTCTTCTAGCTGGGCAATTTTTTGCTGCAATTATGATATTTAAAACAATCATCAATAAAAGTAATAAAACTATATTTATTTAGCATTTCCTCAATTTATACCTTTCATTTATACAAAGAGGCACACAAATTCTTAAGAAACGTACAAATCCTTAAAAAAATATCCAAAGCAGATATATAACCACCTTGTTGAATGAACAAATGTATGGAAAAGATCATAAAAAAAAAAACTCACCTCAAATACATTAGCATTAGCACTTATAATAATAATTCATTTGGCAGGCTCTTCTACCAACATTCATTCAAATATACCATTTGCTATCCCTTATACCTTAACAATAGTCTTAAATTGGAAAGAAGGCAGACTAATGGTTATTCTTACCTCATTGAGTTTATCAGCAAATTCTCCAACAGAGGCACCATATTTTTTAACCAAATAGACAAGCAACCCTATTGTTGATATGGCAGAGAAAGTGTCTGGGGTAATCACATATATTTCTTTGGATAGGAAATACAAGATAAGCCCAGTACCAAGCACGTAGGGTCCTAAAAGAAAAAAAAAAGTTATTTTATAATAGTCATGCTACATCTAAAAGGTGACAATAAAAAGGTATTTCTGTATCTGATTAGTTGAAAGCAAGTAGTGATTAAAATGATTCAAGGGTAGGCTAGAACACTGCTTTGAGTAACAGTATTCTGGAAATGAAAGTACAGGATCTGGCCTCAAGGAATGACTGCCAACTTTAAAGACTGTGAAGTATCAACTTCTAAGCCTGAGAAGTATAAACTATCTCTGTGTTTCTTTTTATTCATTTCCAAATTTTTCTCTCCACACTTCACTTTGTAATTAATTTCGATTTTCAAAGCATCAGTCTGAGTATCGTTGATATGATTACCATCTTAATTTTATGGAGATATGTTTTGTGACTCAATACGTAGTCTAACATAGAAAATAATTTTGTGCACTGGAGAAGAATGTGTACTCAACTTTCTGGCACTGGAGGGCACTACAAATGTCAAGTATTTGCCTTGTTTCTTATCTGTGAAATGGAAGTAGTACCTTCTTCACAGGGTTAATGAAACTGAGACAACATATATCAAGTCCAAAGCATACTTGCTCAGTAAACAGAATGTTCTAAAAAGGTGTCTTGTTATTTTCAGATACAATATGTGCAACAAAATATTTGAGAATAGGGGCTGGAGCAATAGCACAGCAGGTAGGGTATTTGCCTTGCACGCGGCCGAACCGGGCTCAATTCCCAGCCCAGATGGTCCCCCAAGCACCGCCAGGAGTAACTCCTGAGTGCAGAGGCAGGGGTAACCCCTGTGAAATGCTGGGTGTGACTCAAAAAGAAAAAGAATATTAATATTTCTTTTAACTTCCCTTAGGGAAATGTTACTTGGTTTTTAACATTCCAACAGTAGATGGGTATAGGCAAGAGCTTGACTTTATGTGTATTAGAAAGAACATGAGAATTAATCAAAAGGCCAGACCAACTTGACAGAATGTCAAGTTCTTTAGTTTTTTAATTTTTCTGTATGATAAAAATGCCTCCTTAATAGGACTATTTTAAGGACTAATATGACTGTTTCAAGGATTAAATTATGTGCATGAAAGCAAAAATATTCAAGGTTTTAGAAGTTTTATGCCTTTCGATAGGAAAAAAAACTGGTAAATCTGTTCCAATTTGTTTTCATACTTACATATTCAATGTAATGAATTCTCTTGTTTTATCTGGCTTTATTTGAATTTACATATCTTTCTCCATTACCTGAAAACATACTATAAATTTACTTTTATTTTCTATGCCAAGATAAAATGTTCCAAGTTGGAAGGTTCTTTAGTTTACCATTCTATGCCTAGAACTAAGCCTGGTTTAGAGAAGGTATTTGATTTATCAATAACTGGAGATGATGCTATAAAATTGAGTTTAAAATTCTAAACAAATTTATTCCAAAGACAAATCAGAGCAACAAATCAATAGGGGGTGGAAGCATTAAAGAGAAGAGATGGCTAACCCAGGGCTTTGCTCATCCAAGGAATGTGCTCTGCCACTTGAACCAAACTCTTGGCCCCCAAATCAACTGTCATACTGAATCACTTCTAATTTTCTTTTAAAAACAACCGACTTGGTATCTGGGTATAAGTGAAACATGTTAAATACTAAAATTCTAGGTTAACAGAAACCAAACCATACTAGCCTACTTAGCACTATCCTCCTGTTCATCAATTTGCTCCAGCGGGCCCAGTAACGTCTCCATTGTGATACTTGTTGTTACTGTGTTTGGCATATTGAATACGTCATGGGTAGCTTGCCAGGCTTTGCCCCGTGGCCGAGATATTCTCGGTAGCTTAATTGAACCCGGCTTGGCCAGCCGCGCACAAGCCAAATGCCCTACCGCTGTGCTATCGCTCTAGCCCACTAGCATACTAACAAACACAAATGATTACCTGTTACACCAGTTTTAGGATAAAGGAACTGGAAAAACTCCTCAGGGATCAGCCCCATCCTTACTTTCCCTCCATGTTCAGGAAGAGGTGGTACAGGTGCGAGACTTGGCTGCCCTGTGTGAAAAATCCTTGTTGCCTGCAATACCCTGCAGAGAGCAATGACACAAAGTCAAACCATATTCTTTACAGAGAACACAATGCGCGCTGTATTATAAACATTCAGTGGAAACTAGGATGATGCCAAGGTAGTTTCTTACCACCGTACTGGGAAGAGAACATAATAAGGATAAGAACGTCAGGATTTAGTAACTAGCTGTGTGAGATGGACCTAACAGCCTTCTAGCTAACAGCAGAAATTCATCCATCTCTCGGAGGTTATGTGGCGAGCACTATGTCTACTGTTGGCACGGACATATTTAAGAGACAACCTGGGTTTAAACCTAAGACTCTCTGGATTGGGCATACAGTACAAAGGTTAAGACACCTGTCTTGCATGCACCACACCCAGAGCTCTGGGGGACCACATGAGGTGTCAAGAATTGAAGCCGGGTTGGGCACATGCAAGGCACGTGCCCCACCCGCTGCACTATCTCTCCAGTCAATCATATTTTCAGGGCAGTTTTTTTGAGTTTCACAGGAGTCTCAAACCTCCTGGCTGAGGCGACAAGGCTTGTGAGCCCAGAAATTTGGTGCACCAGACTGCGGCTCAGGACTAAATCACACCTCTTCAGGCACCTCTTCCAGCCGACTCACATTTATTAATTCTGGTGATCTGAGGGGGGGTGGGGGGGGTCACATAACTGTCTTCGCAATGCGTGAATGATTTCTCTTACTTCTGATGATCTGACGGCCAAAGTCCGAATTCGGGGTGTCAAGAGTGGAAACAAACTTCCAACGCTCCCTTTAATTGTCCCTGCTGGTGATAGAGGGTCAGGAAATTGGGGGTGGGGACACCCAGAGACTCGGTGAAGGTCACGGGGAGAGGGCGGGGCTTAGAGGACGCCGCTTCCGGTTCTACTAACAGTATCCCCTGTTTGCTTAAAACAATCACTTCTCAGTAGGATCCTCTCAAACAGGATCCCCTAAACCAGAGCACGGAGCACACAGGTTTGAAGCTTTAAGGGGTTCAAAATCCCCCGGGAAAGTTCTTGTCAGTCCAAGGCAAAGTGGAGGTCACCCCAAAGTGAAACGCCAACACCGCCCCGGCGACTAACGGGGTACTGGGTCCCCGCACACTTACCCCGGGCCGAGGAGGGCTGCGTTCTTCAGAGCGGGGGCTGCAAAAGCACAAGCCGCAGGTCAGCAAGGTCAAGGGGAGCCCCGGAGTGCCGCTCCCTAGGATACGGCGGGGTCGAACCGCTGGGGCCAGGAACCCCTCCTTTCGGCCCCCCGAGAGCCCCGTGTTCACCCCAGACGCGGTGCCAATCACTCCCCAATCGGGCCCAAGTCTCGCTGCCCCTTCTCCCCCTCCTCGTCTCCCAACCCTGCGATGCTAGACGCGCTTGCTGTGCAGTCACCCCAACAACACGGGTCGCGGTCTTACCCGCTGCTGCGACCGCAGAAACTACCACACGGGACAGCATGGTCAGCAGGGGTCCAGGCGGCAGCCCTCTTAAGGTCCCGGTGACCCGGACGGGAGACGGTCAGGGCAGGAGCAAGATGGCCGCTCACAAGTCTCGCGAGAGGCGAACGCCGAGCCCTCATTGCCACCAACTTCGCCTTGCGTAGAAGGCAAATCTCGCGAGAAGAGGCGCGGCGAGTCGAGAACCTGTTGCCTGAGGGCGGCCGCCGGAAAGCGGAATGGCCCGCTAGCAGCAATCATCGCGAGAAGTCGAGAGCCGAGCAGGGACGAGAGGGGCGGAGGCCCAGAGGGCCACCACGTGGGCTTCCTCTGCGGGCCTTGAATCTTCGGCGGGCGTCCAGCGTGGCACTCGGGTGGCTTTGGAGCCGTGGAGATGCGGAAAGAAACCCCGCCGCCCCTGGCCGTGCCCCCGGCGACGCGCGAATGGAACCTGCCCCCCAACGCGCCTGCCTGCATGGAGCGGCAGCTGGAGGTTGCGCGGTACCGGTCGGGTGAGCTGAGATCCGGGCCTGGGCCCCCTCGCGTGCTGGCCCGGGCCACCCCTCCGCGGGACTCGCCTTTCCAGCCCGCCCCTCCCGCCCTCCCGATCCCCGCCCGGCGCCGCCGAACTCAAGGCTCCAGCCCTGCCCCGCCTTCCGGAGCTCCGAGCCAGCCCCAGCCCGCGTGCTCGCCCGTGCGGTCGCCATGGAGACGAGCCCGTGCCTTCTCACGCGCTGACAGCTTGTGTCTCCCTTAGATGGAGCGCTTCTGCTCGGGGCCTCCAGCCTGAGTGGCCGCTGCTGGGCCGGCTCCCTCTGGCTTTTCAAGGACCCTTGTGCTGCCCCCAACGAAGGCTTCTGCTCCGCGGGCGTCCAGACCGAGGCGGGAGTGGCTGATCTCACTTGGGTAGGGGACAGAGGCATCCTAGTAGCTTCTGATTCAGGTGAGTCGTGCTCTCAGCGCCACAGGTGGAGTTGGAGGTCAGGGCTACAGGTCAGCTTGGGTGCAATCCTTAATGTCCCCCCACCTCCATGCTTGGGAGAAGTCCAGGGGTTTGAGCTCAAATGAGAAGTCCTGTGCAGACTCTTTTTTTTTAAATGTTCTTTCATTTTAAAACTTCTTTTGCAACATTCTAAATGAGCTGGTGGGAACCTAACAAAATTCATGATGAAATTAAGAACTAAAGTGTAGTCAGTTTTCTTACCTTCCTGAACGACCCCCCCCCCCACCCCACCCATCCTCCCTCCCAAGTCAGATCAAGAATAATCCTGGTTTTAAAGACGATTCTGAAACCAGTGTGTACTATTAGTCTCTACCCGCTTCTCACTTTACTAACTCCCTTTCTTTACTTTGCATGTCAGGCTCAGCTATAGCAAGTGGCATTGACTTTTTTTTTTTAACTGAAATTTGGGTTTTAGCAGGTATTTTATGAAAAGATTGAAAGTAGGACATTAAAGATAGCTTCTCTGAACTGGAGTTTAAACACTACTTAATCAAGAAATATTTGGGCATTTTCTTTACTTAGGTAGCACTGTAGCACTGTCCTTCCTTTGTTCATTGATTTGCTCGAGCGGGTCCAGTAACGTCTCCATTGTGAGATTTGTTACTGTTTTTGGTATATTGAATCCGCCACGGATAGCTTTCCAGGCTTTGCCGTGCGGGCGGGATACTCTTGGTAGCTTGCTGGGCTCTCTGAGAGGGTCGGAGGAATTGAACCCGGGTCGGCGGCATGCAAGGCAAACACCCTACCTGCTGTGCTATCACTCCAGTCCTATACTTAGGTATTACTGTGTAAATCATTTAATCATTCAGTGTGTTTTGTAAGACTTTGTAAGCTACTTGTTCAAAATGTCCAAATAATAGGGTTGATTTAATCATTTAACCGTTGTGGAGGCTTCATCCTTTTCTCCTAGCATCTTGATTTCTAATATTTTGACACTGAAAGTGGGATCATATGTTTTACCAGCTGTTCTAACCTTATGTGTTTTTTTTTATTTGTTTTTTGGGGGGTGAAGGGGCGCGCTGATTTTGGTTTTAAGGCCACACCCAACGGTGTTCAGAGCTTACTCCTGGCTCTGTGCTCGGGGAATCACTCCTGGTAGGGCTCAAGGAACCATAGGGATCCCAGGGATTGAACCCTAGTCAGCTGCATGCAAAGCAAGCACCTTACTTGTACTATTTCTTTGGCCCTGGTTTCTGTCCTTTTCTAAAAGAGACTCATCCTACCTGTTTATTAGGAAAAGAGTGATGCCAGTGTAAAACAAATTGCTTGGAGTTAGTGACATGACCTAAGGATATAGACTTTGTGGAAATAACTTTGTTATTTCCATTCAACAGACTACTTGAAAACTCAAGTACATTGCATCTTAATATAATCCAGGCTGATTTCTCACCCTTGTCTTATCCCAACAGGTGCTGTGGAGTTGTGGGAACTAGATGAGAATGAGTCTCTCATTGTCAGCAAGTTCTGCAAGTATGAGCACGATGACATAGTGTCTTCAGTCAGTGCCCTGAGCTCTGGCACTCGGGCCGTCAGTGGTAGCAAAGACTTCTGGTGGGTCTCTGATCTATTTCTTTTCTGGGGCCACTCTTGGCGATGCTCAGGGATCACTACCTGGCTCAAGGCACCTGGGATGCTGGGAATTGAATCAATGTTGGCCACATGCAAGCAAACAGGTTACCCTTGTACTGTCTCTCCGATCTTGGGTCCCTGTTCTTAGACTCTGTTATGGGTCATTCTTTGTGGTGTCTTAATATCTTACCCATCTCAATTGATGTTTAGGTACAGTTTTAAGAATCTACTGGCTTAGAGATTTTGTAGTATGCTGTGGTAGATGGGTAATAACTGAAGCCTAGTAGGCAGAGACATGAAACAAGAGGATGTTTGTGTGTGAACACTTATTTTTATGTAGACAGTGTAGGTCAAATTAAATTCCTGTGATCTTTTGCATCTTAGCATAAAGGTTTGGGACCTTACCCAGCAGACTGTACAGAATTCCTACCGGGGTGAGTGCTCTCTCTTTCCTTTTTAGTCCTGGCCTTCACTTTTGTTTCTGTTCTTTTCTTTGGGTGGGCTCTTTGAGTGTTGCTAAAATATTAGGAACAGCATATTGCATTCCTAAGAGTTTTCTTCCAAAGCTACTGGCAGGCCTTTGCTCTTACTATGACCATCCAAAGTCTTGAGAAATGTATGCTTGGAACAAATCTATAAGGGGGTCACCAGAAATGATCTAATTAAGCTTTACTATCAATTTTTAAATATGCGAGAGGGTACTGTTTTTCAAGATGATTTGAAGACTTTCATAAGATCCCTGTACTAAAGTTTTTGTTATCTGCTGTGTACTGTACTCACTATAAGTTTTGGAAACTACCTCTCTGCAATGCAGTGATCAAACTTTCCAAGGCAGAAGATTGGCTTAAACTGCCTTCCATAGATTTCTTTTCCATCTTAGAATCCATGGAAGGCCAACATGAAGAAAAGGGATTTATTGCACCTTCCACAAAATAAACCACAGAGACAAGCCTTTTGGAAAGTACAGGAGATGAACACTATAAGACTTTAAGGGATTTGGGGTTTTTGTTTTGTGGGCCATATCTGACAGTGCTGGGCGTCATCCCTGGTCATGCCAGTGCCAGGGGTTGACTCGAGGCCTCATGCACACAAGCAATTCTCAGCCCATTGAACTACCGCCCTGTCTCCCTTCAGGGATTTGGAATGAGTAGCAGAAGGGAAGAAAGTAAAACATAAAAACAGAGAAGTTAGCACTGACCATGGAAGCACCATTTATCTAAAGAAACAAAAGGCATGATGTAATCTGGACTGCTGGGTCATGCTGCCTCCAGCTTCTTTTGTTTCTCTTTCTCCTTTGCAGCTCACTCTGGGGAGGTGACCTGTGTGGCAGCCTCTCCCCACGAAGACTCTATATTTCTCTCCTGCAGTGAGGTGAGCTGCAGCTGCCACTTCCTCCCCCGCCCCCCCCTCACCCCCCCAATACACTCAGACCTTCTAGGCTTAGAGCCTGGAAACCTGGCAAGTGCAGCTGCTTTAGATTGTGAAGTCCTTTTTCTGCCCTCTTCCAGGACAATCGAGTTTTGCTATGGGATACACGATGTCCCAAGCCAGCATCACAGATGGGTGAGTCAGAGACTCGGTGGTGGGAAGGTGATACTTGGAACCCTCTTAGAAGAGCCTATTTGTTGGCCATAGTCAGGGCATTGCTAAGTGCCCAGTCTCTAAGCTATGAGTGACATAAACATTTTGTTTCCCTCCAAGAGCGCATCCCTGGATGACTTGTTTGCACTTTATGATGGGAGGAAATAGACTTGTACACTGCAGGCATTAAGTTTGCAAGTTGCCTGTGACTTGTGTCCAGAAACGGATATATGCAGGCTCTGAGGGTCAAGGATTGGGCCATACTTAGGGTTTAGGAAGCCTAATGAAAGTGCTTTGGCATTTGGAGTGATTGCTTCGGAACAGTTTCTAGGCTATGAGTGCCGTTCTGGATTCTTCCTCTCTCCTTTGCAGATTGCAGTACCTCTGGCTTCCTTCCCACCTCGTTGGCCTGGCATCCTCAGCAGAGTGACGTCTTTGTTCTGGGTGAGGCAGCATGTCACCCTGTGTGCTGTGTATTGGGAAGGGGACAATGAGTGTGAGCAAGTGCCGAGTGTCTACTAATTCAGTTGTGCGCAATCTTCTAGCTGCTCATCAGCACACTTGGCTGCTAGAAAATTATGCTGATGGGGGTTTGGGTGGCAGAACGAACCAAAGTGATCTCTGTTTAGCTTTGGAGAACATGGTGCTTTGGCCCCAGTTCGTTTGATTCCCTAGCGTTTGCTTTGGCTCCTGTTGTCTGGGCATGGCAAAGAGTGAGTCCCAAAGCAAGCATCAAGCTGTGCACCGTGGGGAATGCAGTTCCCCTCGGCTGGTCACACTGCTGTCACGTCAAAGCTGCATGGGTGGTGACCTTGTTTGTGAGCCCAATAATCACTGCACTGTAGCACTGTCTTCCCGTTGTTCATCGATTTGCTCGAGCAGGCCAATGTGAGACTTGTTGTTACTGTGTTTGGCATATTGAATACATCAAGGGTAGCTTGCCAGGTTTTGCCATGCGGATGAGATACTCTGGCTAGCTTGCCAGGCTCTCTGAGAGGGGCGGAGGAATCGAACCCAGGTCAGCCAACCTCTATTAATTCTCACAGCCACCCAGTGGCTAGTGCCCTTCACCCAGGAAATGGCGGCTCATGGTGGTCATCTTGTCCATGATTGAGTCCTGGTCTGGCTGGATCCAGAATCTTTGTTCTGGGTGAGGCAGCATGTGCTCTTAATGCCTCTGCTCTTGTTCCCTCTTCTGTAGGAGATGAGAGTGGTACCATCTCCCTCGTGGAGACCAAGAGTGCAAGCTCTGCCGTCAGCAAACCGGTGCACTCCCAGTGTGTTACTGGACTGGTCTTCTCCCCACACAGGTACTGCCCCTATCAAGACCCCGCCAGCAGGTCTGTTGGCAGAGCATTAGGCATCAAGACAGCAGCTTCACACACTTGCTCTTGCTGGGGTCTCTGTGGGTGAAGGGTCTTGTGTTTGTAGCCTCTTTGGGGGCACATGGGCTTTGCAAAAAAGGGCAAAAGTGACTGGTCTCATTCCTGCTTAGCCTTCAAAGCGTTGAATACTTGAGCTTCTCAGAATGTATGGTGGAAAAAGCCAGTATTTCTGGGTTATTTTGAAAGCAGGAGAGGGAGACTGCTAAGTTGCCAGAATGTTCATGAACTGGGTGTTACTCTATATCCTCCACACTTGTAAGGTGGGTGAGAGTGGTGGTCTCCCTTACCAAAGTGTCAGCTGCCAGAGGGGCAGGGAGCTTTGCAGTAGGCTTGGTGGTGGTAGCAATAATGAGGGTTTTTTTCTCTAGAGACCCTGAACCTGGCCTTTCACAGCTCTCTTCTGTTCATCCTAGTGCTCCCCTTTTGGCTTCTGTCAGTGAAGACTGCTCACTTGCTGTGCTGGACTCAGGCCTTGCTGAGGTGTAAGTATGTCCTGTGATCAGGAGTCTGGGAGGGCATGGCGGGTGGCTTGGTTCCCTTTCTCAGCAGAGAAAAGTGCATTATCTGGAGAGGACCAGTACTGGGAGCGGGCAGGCCTCTGAGTGTCTCTGATTGATTCCTCAGGTTCATGCCTGGCCAGCTGTTTGCTTGGTGGAGGAGTGTGGTGCAGGGTGGGATTTCTAAGTCTGCCTTCCGTCTCTGGAAAAGGAATAGCCCCATATATACATGGAAAGACCCAGGTTCATGAGAGGCAGGAGGGTAAAAGGCAGGAGGCCTGAATTATATTTCTGACTTGGCGATGATGTTCTGCATGATTCTAAACCGTCTCACTTCTGCTCTAGCCTTTTTTTTCCTGGGTGAAGTTTGGCGCTGCACTGGGTACAGATCAAGTCCCGTTTCTAACTACACTGCTTTTGGTGACAGGCCATCTGGACATTGAACTGTGTGTGCTGCACCTAAGAGTGTGCCCTGGGTGTGTTGGCTTCTCTTGAATTTGCTGCTCACTTCCTCTGGTTTCATGCTCCCTCTTTTTCTGTCTTTTCTTCTAGGTTTAGAAGCCAAGCCCATAGAGATTTTGTGCGAGATGCTACTTGGTCCCCCCTCAATCACTTCCTCGTGACCACTGTCGGCTGGGACCATCAGGTTATCCACCATGTTGTGCCCGCAGAACCCCAGCCAGCCACTGGACCTGAGAGTGTGGTGGAGTAAAGTGGATTCAAGACAAGACAGAATTCCCTGTTCCCTTTGCCCTGTCCTCTCAGTTGGTGGGACAACACAGGAGCCTTAGACACACTGGACATATCAGATCTGTTCTGTGAATAGGCATTGTCTCGGCCTGGGAGTGGCTGATTCTGGGAGCCTGTGGCCCTAAGAAAGGAAATCTTTCTTGAAGATAGGTATATACTTGTTTCTGGGTATATGTACAGACTCAGCTTTCGTTAGTGATGAGGAATAAAAATCCCACACCACAGCTTCCTCAGGGCCTATTCCCCTGCCTTCGACCCCCCGCTAAGAAGTTCACAAAAGGGATTTATGCTTCCCAGCTGGCTCTGTGCATGAGGAATTGATCGGTCATGTATGGGTGAGGTTGGGAAGTGGGTATCCCTGGATTCTTAGAAGCAGTGTGTTTACTATTCTTATAGCTGGGGGCAACTTTTTTCCGCCCTAATAACACTCCACTCACTTTTTTCACGGGCAGTGCTTTGTTCACAGAACCCCTGTCCCACCCCACTGGGTAAGAGCTGGGACACATAGTTTTGCATATTCCCTTGCCATTAAACTGAGTAAGAAATACATTTTCAGGCTGAATGCAAAGTTTGGTGCTGTGTGGTGCCCACACCTGCAAACCCCTCCCCCTTCCTGCCTATATCCAGCTGTTTATGTGAGAAGTGTTTTTATGTTTGATGCCACAGAAAAAAAGTTTGGATTGTTGAAGAGCTTGCAGGCATTTCAGTTAACCGACAGGCGGAGAGATGCCTGCCGTTGGTCACCCTGCAAACAGGCTGGACCCTCACCTCGTGTTCGGCCCTCTTCTCTAGGGACTGGAAGTCTGATATTGTATTTGTGGACTCTGAAACTGCAACATCAGAGAATCAAATACTGGTTGGTGAAATAAAAAGTTTAGGCTTTGTTGGCCTGTCTTGAAATGTGTGTGTGCGTGTATTACGTGTGTTTAGACACCTATGTGAGTTATCAGCGTTGTCAGTCTTACACGCAGATCCAGTTTAGTTTCTTTGACCACTTCCAGACGTCTTGGGTCAGTTGCTATTGACTTGCAACTAAATATAATCATTATGTACGTGAGAGGCTTGCAAGATTATGTTAGCTAAAATGGCATGGAGCTGGGGCAGTCTAAAGGAATTCGGCCAAAATACTGATAAGGTTTCCATGCTTCCCCCTTGTCACATATGAGCTCTGTCCTCACAGTTACACATGGGCTTTTGTAGTTATGTTTGTTGAGTGGCTAAAGATTTGTATATAGGCAATAAAATCCACTCAGCTATAGGAAAAGACGAAATCTTGAGTTTTTTTCTAACATGGTTGGAAATGGAGGGTGTCCTATTAAGCAAAGTAGAAAGGCAAAAGACATAGCTGATTCTGCCAACAGAATTGAGCCTTCTAAGGGAGAGTGGGTGAGTTAGGGGAAAGGAAAGGGTGGAAGGATATTCTCACTGGTGGTAGGTGTGGTCCAGTATCATTGTATTCCTGGAACAAATAGTATAACTCATGACACTTTTTTTTTAAGTAACACACAAAAACCCTTAGATTCTGTTCACAGAACAGGTTACCAAAGGGAAAGGGATGTGGGTTGAGCATCCAACAGACATTTGTAATTTCGTAAGCAGAGTGTTAATAATAATAATAAAAAAAAAAAACAGGTGGGGGCTGGAGCAGTAGTATAATGGATAGGGAGCTTACCTTGTACATGGCCTACCTAGGTCTGAGTCCCAGGATGCTGTATGGTCTCCTGAGTCTGGTCAGGAGTGATTCAAGCACAGTAGTAAGACCTGAGCACACTTAGGTGTGGCCCCAAACAAGAAACCTCAAAAACTGTTTTAAAGCTAAGTAAATAATACAAGCAAGAATGTATCCAGGTAGTTGAAATGACCTCAAAGAAGGCAAATTTTGAAGAATCTTACTGTAAAGAATGTTACTTTAGGATGAGATCTGTGCTGATAGTAATTTATATCTGTTAATGTTTGCCATTGAGACACTTTCAAAAGTTCCAGTATGAATAGCTGCCACAGTGAGCAAAAGGCTCAAAATAGGTGATTTCATAGTAACCAGAAGTGTATCACACTAGGGTTAGTCCCTAGGTCCTTGTGAATTGTTTCAGAAAAAGTGGACCTGGTCACAGAAGCTGGAAATATCCTCATTTTGTGTGATTTGTTTAAAACTGCACAAGCATGTGTTTTGCATTTGTTTTCATTGGTTTAAATGTACAAATGCTGGAGCAAGTTCCCGTCTCTCTTATTCCCTATCACTTTATTTTGAAGTTAATTGACTAGATTCATTTCATCTGCTGCCCACAGGGAGAGTGGGAAACTCCTTGGGGTGTGCTTAGAACCACTATCAGACACAAGAAGGCTGAAGGAGAGTTTCAGGTGTCACCAGACAGTGGCTGGTCCTTGAGCTCTTTCCCATACCATAGGGCAGTAGGAGGCCTGTTCTGTAATCTACAGTCACACAGACTTTACCTCCTGGCAGCATATGCAAGGAATGTGATTTAATTCTTGTATTATCTCCTGGCCCAAGGAGTGTTTATTTACTGGGGGACTAATTACAGAAGTTTGGAGCAGTGTGTGTGTGGGGGGGGGGGGGGAGGGGGGAGTGGGGGTGGGAATGACACACAGTGCTGGTGCAGGCACATGGGACCAGCTGGAGTGTTACAGGAACTTTTCCTGAAACAGGAAAAAAAAGTCAGGGGCAGTAACCTCCCTTGAGAGCAGCAGTGACTATTGACAAGGCAGAGAGATGACCTTAATGTGTCTTCACTGGGAATTATCCCAAGGAGTAAACACTGTTGTCACAAACTTCCCAGTGGAGAGCAAGGTGGAGGATGGGCAGAGAGAGAGGGGGATACCTGGAACACATCTGTTATCATAGCCCTTTTTGCCACTTAATATGCTCTCATCCTTAATACAGCTAAAATTCCATGTCCTCAAGTAAGAGATACTCAAAGCCAGCTATTCATCAATAGGGCAATAGCCTTTGTTCATACTCCTGCCTTAAACCTAAACAATTTGTGTCCTCATATGAAGTAGCAAAAGAAAACGGATGTTAAACACAGTCATACAGAACAGAGTTGCTGAACATACTTGTTACAGGGACTGGGGAAATAGTTCAGTGGCCTGAGTACATGCTTTGCCTGGCGGAGTCCCAGCTTCAATCCCTGTCACCATGTGGTCCTCTGATCACTGCTGGGAAACAGAGTAAACCCTGAGCACCACCAGGTCAGGGCCCCAAACTGACTTATATTATTACAACCTCTACTTCTATAACTGAATGTGAGGTCTTTTCTAATCCCCAGGCTCATTCTCTTGGATTTGCATTTTCTGAGCTCACTCATTTCTCAGAGAAAACCACTTAACTGTTGGTTCAGGGTTTCAAAGATAAACTGATTATGCATCTGTCCCACTAAAGAAGTTTTGTTTGTAATAAACAGTTTAATTTTATTTATTTTTGTGGTGTTAGGGATCAAACCTAGGTTCTCATATGCCAGGTCTGGGTTTAACCATCAGGCCACATCCCTGAAACCCTATTTAATGATGAAATCTATAAGAGCATAAAGAGAATCATGCTTTTTCATATTTGGGATGGAATTGAAAGAATAGTAGCAAAAGCAACTATGCCTAAACCAGGGGTTCTTAACCTTGGTTTACCATCAATGCTGAATAATTCTTCATTGCAGGGGTGGGGAAGGGGGTTGATGAAAGACTGTCTTGTCTTACATAGGATGTTTAGCAACATACCAATCTTCTGCCCACATAAAGCGATCCTGTGCTTTGTGTCACAACCAAAATTGCCTCTAGACATTGTCAAATTTTCCAGGAGGGGGAGCATTTCCTTTTGCCAAGTTGAGAAGCACTGGTATGAAAGGAAGAGTTAAGCCAGAATGAGCAGTAACATATTGATCTCCTGATAATGATCATTTCACCAGGGTTTTTGTTTTATTTTTGTTGTTGTTAAATAGAAAACTGCAATGAACACATTTTCTTGGTGTACCTGAGCCAAATGTGTCAGGAGTAAGACAAATTTTAGAAGTGAAATTGCTGGTTTATTGGCTGTATATTTTTAACTGTTCTGTGCTTAGATGACAGGTTAAGTAAGTAAAATTACCTTTACTTTATTAAAAATTTGTTTCTGAATTGCCTAAATTTTAAAATTTAAATCTACAAAATGATGAATTTTACATGACAATATACATTAATATAAACATAAATATTAAAAAAACATGACCCAAACTTTATCTTTTATATCGGAAAGTGGAAAACATGAGTTTGATCTTTGTTTTCAAGGGTTGGCAAATTTCTTGGAATTTTAGAGAACTGGAAAAATTCTGGAAATTTACACTGGTCTTTAATCAACTCTCTGGCTTTTACATTTTCTAGCCAATTGCTTTTGCTTAGGTCCTGATTCTTTAAAGTCATCTTCATTCACTCCTTGACAGGAGTTGGTCAAACACTTTGTTGAAAGAAAAGCACTTCGTGTCTGTAATTGCCTTGATCTAGTTTGATGTGTAAAACATGGTAGGGGTTAAGCAGCATTGGGAATTTCTTCAATAACTCAACCGAAAAACATTTGTATTTGTCTGTTCTTTGTGAGAACCATCTCGGCGGCAGGGGGGAGATTCTTTAAGGATCCAGGGGGTCCTGTAAAACTAAAAAGCAAGAGCTGTAAGTTTTGACAGCAAGAACTCAAGGAGTAGGATTGAGAACAAATGGAATGACACGGCACACTGATTTTCAACAGATTTCATTTACCATTTCACTCCTCAATTGTATGCCTACTACATAGTGTCCTGGTTGCCAACCCTTTGGCATGGTTATCTCTGAATGAAGAGAGGTCATTGCTGGGCATCTATTTTTCTCTCTTGGCATTCTTTTGAGCATCATCAGTCACTTTCACAGGTGTGGAATAGTTAGGTCTCAAGTCTAGCCATGCCCACTGGAGAGGAAAAGCTGCTTAGAAGATTGACTTAGGTGCAGTCTTGCTTGAGGTTCAGACTCGGGTCAAATTTGATTCTGGAATAGGCGCAGCATTAACAGCCACTGCCCGTGGAAGAAAACCACAAATCTTGTGGGAAATAGCAAGGATATAGAATCTGGGGGAGTGGGTGAATGGTCAGTGAGGCGAGAGAAAGCTCAGAAATAGATAGTGTAGATGTGCATTCCATATAAGCAAAGTCCTAGGAGACAGCAAGTGAGGACTAGAGAGAGAGTACAGCAGGTAGGGTGCTTGCTTTGCACTTGGCAGACCCAGGCTCGATCCCTGAAACCCTAAGTAGACCCCTGAGCTCGCCAAGAGTGATTCATGAGCGCAAAGCCAGAAGTAAACCCTGAGCACTGTGGGTGTGGCCCATAAACAACAAATTTTTTTTTTAAGGAAGAAGACAGCAAGTGGGTATGGCAAATTTGAGTAAGGATTCAAGTCCTAGGAATCAGTTATGGTGCCTACAGTTTAGAGGAAAGGAAGGAAAATCAAAGCAGATATCTCGAGCAGGCACCAGTAATGTCTCCATTGTGAGACTTCTTGTTACTGTTTTTGGCATATTGAATACGTCCTGGGGAGCTTGCCAGGCTTTGCCCTGAGGTTGAGATACTCTTGGTAGCTTGCCGGGCTCTCCGAGAGGGCCAGAGGAATCTAACTTGGGTCAGCCCCGTCGGCCATGTGCAAGGCAAACGCCCTACCCACTGTGCTATCGCTCTCACCTGCATGGCAAAGCCTGACAAGCCACCTGTGATGTATTCGATATGCCAAACACAGTAACAACAAGTCTCACAATGGAGACGTTACTGGCCCGCTCAAGTAACTCGATGAACAATAGGAGGACAGTGCTACAGTGCTATTGTGTATTATTGTGTATTATTATTATTATTATTATTATTATTATTATTATTATCTGCCTGGTGAGCCTCAGCATTTG